ATGGTGATGCTCACCTATGAACTCAGCACCTGCACTCAGGAGGCTGGTGTTGGAGAATGGTGAGTTCAAGGGCTGGGCTACATGATGAGACTGGCCTTAACTCAACAGCAGAAACACTGGCTCAGGCCTGGCACTGACTGCTGTCCTCAGTGCCCGATAGGAACACCTTGGCAGAGAAGAACTTGATATCTGTCTCCATCCCTATGTGCCTAGGATCCCCCGAAGACGGGCCTCGAGTGGTCTTCATTGTGGACCTCTGGCACCCCAACGTGGCTGGGGCTGAACGCCAAGCTCTTGATTTTGTCTTCGCACCAGACCCTTGAAAGAAGCTGTTCCCTTCTGGCACCTGAGCTGGGGTGATGCTGCTCCCGGGAGTGGTGGTCAGGACCTCCTTTCCTGAGGGGGTAGCAGGGTGTGACTTACTCAGCCAGCACTGAAATACAAATTCTGAATCCTCTCCTAACTCCTGACTCCTTCCTTCCCAGTTACCAGTTCCAGGTTAGGGCTTAGGGCAAAAGCTCATGTTTCTACCATGCTAACAGCGAGGCATCTTCTCATCCCTCACCCAAGAGGCAACAGCAGACTCTTAGTTCAACTTTATTCCAATAATTTAATAGAAAATTAAAATAATAAATAATATGAACCAGATCAAGATAGCCGAGCTGGTACAGGTCCAGGCCAGCCTAGTATAAAGTTAAGGAAGTAGGGAGGACAGTGAGGCAGGAGGGAGCGGACTGCTCTGTGCAATGGTGGAGAGCAGCTTGGAATGTGGTTGATGATACTAAGGTCTCCACACGTTTTCAATGTTAACAGAAGAGAAGGGAAGTCTGCGTCACTCTAGACTAGATGGCAAGAGACAGACAGCAGAACAAGGATGTGCAAGAGGGGTGGATGCTGGCTTTCTGAAGAGCCCCGCCTAGGGGAATGCTGGAATGTACCGTGTTGTTAGCAGTGAGTGGTAATGACTGGAAAGGGCCCCACTGAACATAGCATGCAATGAAGGGACAGAGGGAAGACCCACGACTTGGCCAGCAGAGCCGGGGCAGAGAGAGGGTCCCAGAAGCAAGAGGAAGGCAGGGGAAAGATCAAAGGTCAGTCCTTGAAGACAATCTGTTGACCGTGAGGACGCTCATCGTGGGTGATATGTCGACGGACATGAATCCTCCGGACACGATGCTCTCGGTTCTCTTCATCATCCCCTCGGCCTGCCCCACCACCTCCAGATGCACCCCCTGTGGCCTCCAGGAGAGCTAGATCTGGGCCACGGGGAGTCTCATAAATCAAGATGTTCAGTGTCTCCTCGAAGATCCGAGCCTCCGGGAATTCCACCTGCAACAACACCAGCAATCTGTAGCTCCGACCCTCCGGCCCAGCCCCAGTCCTTCCCCAGTGGGTCTTCTGTGGGCTCCTCCAGGCCCTGAAGACAGGCAGTTATCCTTCACTGACTAGTCTCTTGGAGTGCTCATCAGCTAACAAATCCCCAGTATGTCACTATCCAGGGTTGTTCTACGCATCAGGAACACAGCAGTGACAACAAATGCTTGCCCTCAGCATGCTGGAAGTCTGGGGGAGAGCACACTTCCTAAACCACACACCAAGTCAGATGATGACAGTTTATGGGAGAGCTGGAAGGAAATGGGTGAAAATGGCCTTTCCTGGGAGTGTTTCATCCTTCAAGAGGGAGTTCAGGCAAGGCCTTGCTGGGAACTCGAGAGAGGGAGGCAGATAAAGAAAACCCACGAGGAGCAGCAGCAAGGAGTATAAAGGCTTGATCAGGACTTTGTCTCAGATGACAAGACAGAGTGATGGAGGGAAACGGAACTGAAGTAGGAAAAGCGGCATTGTGCTGGGCAGCCTTGGAAGAGTATAATGAACATAGCTTGCCTTTCCTTCTTTACAATACTGAGGATTAAACTCAGAGTCTCAGGCATGCTAGACCAGTTCTACTGCTGAGATGTACCCATACCCTTATTTGTTTACTACTGAATTAATTATTTGAAGACAGAGTCTGACTAGGTTGCCCAAGATGGCCTTGAACTTGCAGTCCTCTTGCACATGGCCAGCCAGTACAACTGGGTGAGACTGCCTCTCAGTCAGGTGGACTTAGAGGTGTACACCCCCACACCTTCCCCTTAAGCTACATCCTAACAGTTTGTATCTTCCTAGCTTCCTAATTGCAGAAAAACCTTCTGGAAGCTGAGGTATCTATTCCATGCCTTTGATCAATGTTTCTCAGTACTCCCACTAAGTGACAAGTACCAGGCTAATACTAGCTAGGGGACATCGGCCAGGAAAAGGCACAGCACTGCTCTGCGGGCACTGGTCTACCCTATACTACAGCGCTTTGTCCAGCTAAAAAGGGAGTTTGACCAACTTTGTCTGGGGCAATAGTATTGAAATCTCATGAGCAAAGGTGTCCAAAGAGAAATGATGCTTGGCTTGGGTCTGAAAGCATAAGTTCATTGGCAGACAAGGAAAAGGGAAAGATTCCTCAACACACACCACAGAGGAGGGACTTGTACTCTGCTCAACATGTTGTGCCTGTGGTTTAAAGTCTGGGGCAGTGCCTAACACAGATTGGGTACTGACTGGTCAGTGGTGGCACATGACTTTAATCCCAGCACTCGGGAGGCAGGGGCAGGAGGATCTGTGAGAGTTCCAGGCCAGCCTGGTCTACAAAGTGAGTTTCAGGACAGCCAGGGTTACACAGAGAAACCCTGTCTCAAAAAAACAAAACAAAAACAAACCAACAAAATCAACAACAACAAAAACCAACCATGTTCTAAACAGCAAGGCCTGGGGCTCAATCCCCAGCACCAAATCAAAACCAAAGAAAACAGAACCTGGCTCTAATCTTACAGCCTCATTTCAAAGGTAGAGAAACAGAGATCACTGAAGTGAGACCTACCCAAGCTATTCAACCACAGCCTTAGAACTCTGGCCCTTGATGCCCAAAGATCTTGCCCTTGCCTGACTCCTGATTTGCCTCTGTCCAGGGTCCCAGTCCTACCTCCCATCCCTCCTTGATCCCCTCTGACCTTGGTCTGCTTCTTCTCTGTAGCATAGACTATGGAGGTGCAGCACACTTCGGCGATTTTTCGGCCCTGCCCGTAGAAAGACCAGCAGCAAATCTCGTCCCCCAGGACATCCTTGAGGAAGAGCAGCCGCCCATGGAAGCGTAGCGCTAGTTTGTCAAACAGCTCGATGTTCTTCAGTAAGTTGTCATCTGAAGTGCTGAGGACCAGGGTCCAGCAGGCCTTAGGTGACTGTCTTCTCTCCCTCAGCTCCCCCCAGAGGGGCCCAGATTCCCAGCACTCCAGTCCTGCCCAGCAGGGGACTTCCAACTGTGTAGGCCTCTCAGAAGGGAAGCATTTGCTGAGCAAATCACTGACCGCATGGCACAGAGGTTCCTGGTGCAGGCTTTCAGCCAGGCCATCACCAGGCACTCCAGCTTCACTACATTTTAACTGAGCAACATTAGGCAGGTTATTTTATCCCTTGGTGCCACAATATCATCTCTAGATGGAGATCAACACTTCCTCAGACCGTTGGGAGAGTGGATAAGTCAACAGACACACTGAGACCAATCGTATAGGAAATAAGGAGCTAGCCTATGCCAACCATTATCATAGTCTTGGCCTAAACCTCCTTTACTGATGGCAGGTGGCACAGTTGGAATGGGGCATTCAAAAGGCAGGCATTCTGGAGTCTCTTTATGTAACCATAATCCTCTGAGGGACAGGAGCAGAGCCCTGCTCAACCCTAGGACTGTGCCCAGTGCATGAGCACACCAGACGCCCACGCCCCCAGTAGATCCCAGTACGTGAACACCCGTAGACACACCCATGCCCCGTGCTCACCTGGTATAGGAGTACTTGTTGTTACTGCGGTTGTGCAGAAGTTTCACCACAGGCTGCAGGGGAAAGCCCATGGAGAACGGAGTCAGGAGACCGGGAAAGGACAGCAGCCTTCAACTACCCTCCAACCCACAGGGCCCCAGGGCCTCACCTTGGAGGTGCTGGCCAGGAGCTGCTGTTCTTCCCGGGGTGATGTCACTGTGGGGATGAGGCACAGCGGGGACAGGTTCTCCCTTTTTTGCTGCGGAGGAAGTGGAAGGTGATTAGCAGTACAACCAGTGTTCACTCACTCACCACTTAAATAAAGGCCTTCTGAAGCTGCGTGGGGGTTGAAAACACTCTGGAGAGTCTCTAAGGATCACAGCGATGTGACCACTCCAGATTTAGCTTTGGAAATCCCCGCACTGGCTGGGCTTTGGTGCCCTCCCTGCAGCTCTACCCTTATCCTGCCAACCTGCTGTTCCTTAGACACCCAGCTGTGCCCTCCTGGACTCTGCACTGGTCAGCCTGCCTGGGGTGTGCTTCACTGAGCTGTGTGCAAAGCTGACTCTTCAGATCTCCACTCAGCATGCTGGCCCCCACAGCGCCAGCCCCGCTCCAGGGCCTCGCTACCATAGCTTCCTCGGGCTCAGATTATTGGTTCCTTTTCTTCACAGCACTTAGGTCCGCATCTGTTTTTATATTTATGGTCTTCCTGAGGACTGTACAGGTGATGATCAGTACACATCTGCTGAGTGAAGAAGCCTGGCTGAGTACAAGGGGGCTGTTTATTTCTGCAGGGCTGGGTATTGAACACAGGACCATGAGGGAATACCAAGCAAGTATTCTACACTCACTGACCTATACCCTTCACCCTTTTTAAAAATTGAGATTTAATTTTTAAAATATTGAGACAGCATTGCTAAATTACTCAGGCTGACCTTGAATTTACAATCTCTTGTCTTAGCCAATAGTGGAGCACACCTTCAATCCCAGCACTTGGGAGGCAGATGCAGGCGGATCTCTGAGAATAAGACCAGCCTAATCTATATAGTAACAGCCTGTCCCAAAAACAAAAACAAAAACAAAAACAAAAACAAAAAAACCTAAACAATCCTGCCTCAGCTTCCCAAATGTTGGAATATGCCAGATCATGTCTGTCTCTAAAGGTACAATTCTGAGACAAATTACAGAAATTATTTTTTGAGAGTCTTGGGTTTTTGTTTTTTTTTTTTTTAAGTTTTTTTGAGACAGGGTTTCTCCATGTAGCCTTGCTGTCCTGGAACTCACCATGTAGACCCAGCTGGCCTTGAACTCAAAGATCCGCCTGCCTCTGCCTCCAGAGTGCTGGGATTAAAGGAATATGCCATCACCTTAAGAGTTCTGTTTGCTCGTTTGTTTGTTTTGAGACAGGGTTTCTCTATAGTTCTGGCATGGCCTCAAATTCACTATGTAGACCAGGCTGGCCTCAAACTTAGAGATCCACCTACCTCTGCCTCCTGAGTGCTGGGACTAAAGGTGTGTGCCGCCATGCCCAGCTAAGAGGGTTTTTTTTGTTAGTTACTTTGTTTGCTTGGGGTGTGTGTGTGTGTGTGTGTATGTGTGTGTGTGTGTGTGTGTGTGTGTGTGTGTGTGTGTGTGTAAAATTAACATGGAAAGACAGGCATGGCAGGCAGCAGGTGCCTTAAGGCCCAGCTAGAAAGAGGCTGAGGTGGGAGGGCTGCTTAAACTTGGGAATGTGGGAGCAGCCTAGACAACATAGTAGACCTCACTCTCAAATAAATCACAAATGGAAAAACAGTACACCCGTAATCCCAGGAGGCAAATGTTGAGCATAGCCACAAATGCAGGCTAGCTTGGTCTACACAGAGTTTGAGGCTCTCTAGGACTTTGCATCAATATTGTTTCAAAACAAAAAACAATGACAAGCCAGGAGTGTGTACAGCTGTGATCAAAGCACTGGGGGCAGAGGCAAATGGTTATCAAGCTGGAAAGCAGCTTGGCCTCCTTCATAAGACTATCTCAAAACATAAAAACAAACCACAGAAGCATAAAAGTCTACCATTACTAAGTCAGTTTTGAAGCACCAACCCTATAAGACATAAATACACACTATGAAGACAAAATAACGGAACCAGTTTAGTGCAGAGACAAAACTCACACCAAGGCACACAGAACCTGGGAAGAGATGAGTGTGCACATCTGAGAACTGAGGCGGGGTAAGTGCAGGGAGCAGGGCACATGTGGGCTGTCTGCCACTGTGTAACAAATAGCCCCAAACATCATAGCTTAAGTTAACAAAAGGAATATGATTTTCTTTTCCTGTGGGTCAGGAATTCATTCGGGAGCGGCTTAGGCCCTCTGGCACAGGTTCTCCCAGGAAGGGGTGCACAGCACCAAGGATCTAACCTTTGCACTCAGACCTCCCTAGGTCTGCTTGAGTATCTTTACAACAGTTGGTTTCTCCAGAGAAAACAATGCAAAAGAAGATGAAGGCCCCGTTGTCTTTATGACTAGCTTCACCTGCCTTACGTCACTGGGGCTGACTCAAGGCTGGCTCCATTGTCACCTGCATGGATTCACACGCAAACAAAACAAAAACCAAACACATTCCAAGGAGTCTCCAAGTCTCACCCGTTACATTGACAGCTCAAAGCACAGAAAATCTACACCAGGTTCAGGTTGGGATGGGGCCATCTGGGTACAGTTCACCAATTTCAGCTTATGAAGCGCATTTCTTTCTACTTGAAGAGCTGTGAACTATAGGCATGTCGTCTCCTCCAGTGGCCCACTAGGAATGTCCTTGTTCAAGACAACAGGACAAGACAACAGGAGGCACACAGAAGTCACTGGTCCTGGAGTTTGCTAGTCACTGGGACAAACATTGGGAACCCTTTGATGCCCACACCTGACCAGTTATGATTCACATGGTTCCGATGCCCAGAGGTATCATTCTTTTCCCAAGAGATGTTCATAGGCCCGGTTTCCTCAGCCTGCTTCTCAAATGCTAAGTTTCACTGTCGAAACCCCTCTTTCACTTCGGCTGTGCCTGCCCTTTCAAGTCCGGGTGATGTCCCTGCCAATGTCTTAAATATTTATTGTCTTCTAAGTCTTGGGCCTCATGTCGTAAGAGAAAAACCACACCTATAACCTCTACAAAAGAGCTTTTGACTACTTTGGGCTTGTAAACCAGCTGCCGAGAGGCACCACATCTTAAGCTGCCTTTTTAATACTTTTACTTTTTCTTAGACTCATCTCATTGTAAGGCCCCTGCCTCTGAGTGCTGGGATTAAAGGTGTGCCCATCAGGACATCAAAATCTTAAGATCCTTAGAAGAGCTGTCATTTGGGTGAATGTGGTAGCACATTCCTGCAATGAAGTTCTTAGAAGGCTGAGGCAGGAGGATCATGAAATCAGCTTGTGCTACAAAGAAAGATCCTGGCTAGGCAGTGGTGGCGCATGCCATTAATCCCAGCACTCAGAAGGCAGAGGCAGGTGGATCTCTGTGAGTTTAAGGCCAGCCTGGTCTACAAATCAAGCTCCAGGACAGTCAGGAGTGTTACACAGAGAAAGCCTGTCTTGAAAACCAACAAAACAACAAACAAACAAAACAAAGGAAGGTCCTGCCTAAAAAACAAAGTGCTAGTAATGTGACTGAATGAGTCTCTGGGCGTCTCTTTGGGGACTTCTTCACAATCACATCCTTGAATTTATCTTTAGGTTACATTTTCCTGGGAATGGCCTGCATTTCATCTTTGCCTGGAAGCCATTGTTAACTGTGTGTGTTATCTGGAAAGCTGGGGGATGTGCAGACAACAGTTCCTGTGCCACTGTTTGCTTCTTTAGCTTATCCTCCCCTCTGCAGGTATCAGCAATAAGAAACTGTAGCTCAGGCTGTCCTGGAACTCCCTCTACAGACCAGGCTAGCCTGGAGCTCAGAAAGAAGTCCATATGCTTCTACCTCCTGAGTTCTGGGATTAAAGGCATGCCATTTGATGGTTTTGCATAGAACACCCCACACACTAGAATGCACAATTTGTCACTTTTTTTCCAATTTATTAAATTTTTTTGGTTATATTCTTTCTCCTAACTCCTCTCAGATTCTCTCCACCTCCCTTCCCCACCCACCCAACATCATGTTTTCTCTCAAAAAAAAAAAAAAAAAGAAAAGAAAAAGGAAACCAGTAAGGCAGAAAACAAAACAAAACACATGGAGTCTGTTTTGTTGGCCATGTACTGCTGGACACTGCCGCCGAGTGTGGTTGATATATATACCCAGTGACGCGCCACTGGAGACCACGGATTTTCCCTTTCCCAGAAGGTATCCATTGCAAACCGATTCCTGGTTGGGGTGGGTTTTTGTGTCCATTCCCCTTCTCAGTGCCCGGATGTTGTCTGGTTTGGACCTGTACTTCTTGCCATGGTCTCTGAGTTCCTATGTGCCAATCTTGCCGCGTCTGGAAGTAACCCCACCATCTGTTACCTCTTGATAACAATGACTACAAACACAACAGCCCACACACCAATTATTTAGCATTGCCTCCTTTCATTTCTGAGGGTCGGAACTTCAGACTGGCCCATGGTCCCTCATGAACTAGATGATGGCCACAGCTGGCCATAGTAACACATGCTGTAGTTCCAATCTTTGAGAGGTGGGAAGAGGTACATTTTGAGTTCAAGGCTAGCCTGGGATAATAAGGGGACCTTGTCTCAAAACTAAAAACAATACAAAACAAGATGGTGACCAAGATTGCATCATCTCAATACTGGATAAGACTTAGAAGATGTACTTCCGATAAAGTTGACCCACATAGTTGGAGTCTGCTGACAGCAGGTTCTAGTTTCTCACCCGAGAGACTTCCCAAGGGCTGTTTGGGTTCACATATAATGACTTGCTTACCAGAGTGAACTGTCCAAGAGGCAGAAGCTATGCCTTTTCTGACCTGGCTTCAAAAGTCACACATTAGAGTTGCATGTTAGTCCTATTCAGTGTGGGAGAGGACTACATAAGACCCTGAATCCCAGGGAGGCAAAAATCACTTGTGGCCATTTTGGATACTAGCTATCAAAACCTGTTTAATAGATGGTACCTGGAAAACCAACTTACTCTGTAGAAGGAAAAAAAAAGTTAAAAAGCAGGGCAGTGGTGGCACACATCTTTATTCATTATTTATTCATGAACTTATGCTTTTTCAAGACAAGGTTTCTCTGTAACAGTCCTGGCTGTCCTTGAACTCACAAAGATCCACTTGCCTCTACCTCTCAAGTGCTGGGATTAAAGGCTTGGTGCCCTCCTTTAATCCAAGCACCAGGGAGGCAGAGGCAGACGGGTATCAGTGAGTTCGAGGCCAGCCTGGTCTACAAAGTGAGTTCCAGGACAGCCAGGGCTACAGAGAAACCTTGTCTTGAAAAACCACACACACACACACACACACACACACACACACACACACACACAAAGTCCCTTCATAATTTACATTTACAAAAGTGAGTGTCACTGAGATTAAAATGTCCATACATGAGGGGCCGGAGAGATAGCTCAGGGGTTAAAAGCACTTTCTGTTCTTGCAGAGGACCCAGGTTCAGTTTCCAGTACCCACATGGTGGCTCACAACCATCCTTAACTCCAGTTCCAGGGGATCCAATACACAAGGCATGCATGTGGTCTACATACACACAACAGGCAAAATACACACACACACACACACACACACACACACACACAAAATCCTTTTTAAAGTCCTTATATAATAAGATCTGTATATAAAATTATAAAGCTAATTAAAAAAGTAGAATAGGAAAAAACCTAAGTAACCCTTCTCCCCCACCAAGGGATACATACAAATACCACTAGGGAAAATGCTATTTTGACTATATTAATGTCAAAATTGCTCAGTTGATAGTACAAAGCACAACTTTATAAGTGACCCCATGGAACAACACTAAAGAAATGCTAAACCTATAATTATCCCATAACCCTAATGAAATTAATGACTTAGGCAAGGAATATCAATTGGTGTGTTGTTTACAGGCAACTGCCACTTGCACAATGCCCAGATTAATACCACACAGATGAATTTATAGTTGGCAACAAGGAAATATAACTGCAGTGGAGGACTCAACTTATCATCTGAATTTAGGGACCAGTTCTGAGCATATTAGTCATATCAGCCACATCATGGGTATCTTGATGTAATACAGTATGAAAACCTATACCTCCTAGAATGTACTCTAACCAAAATGCTTAACATCAAACCTTTACATTTATGTCTAATTTATAGGAAATTCAGGATATATCAGGGTTTGTACCAAATGACACCAGGACTGAACAATCAGGCAAATCTGGTGAGCAGACCACTGTATAGGCAGTATCTTTAACAACTCAGCTTTATAAGGAAAACAAGAAAAAAACAACCGAACAATCTGTTCCAGATTGGAAGAGACTTACAGAACATCGACAGACACAATGTGACGCTCTTGACTATAGTTCTTGGTTTAAATGAACTGCTTAACACATTTCAGGCAGAACTGGAGAAATTGGAGCATTTGCCCTGGATGTTAGATTAACTTTATTGATATAGAAAGTTATCAATTATTAACAATGTCAAAAAATAAAAGCAGTATACAAAACAGTACATACAACATGGCCATATTTTAGTGAACAGACATATACACATGCACACACACCAAAAAAAGTAGAAAAAATTTGGAGCTTCATCTTTTTGGTGATCCATTTCCTAAACTTCTATAGTTGATAATACTGCATTAAAAATAACAGGTGTTGGGGCTGGAGAGATGGTTCAGTCAATAAATTACTTGTCATACAACCATGAGTACCGAGTTTAGAGTCCTAGCACCCACCTAAAAATCCCAGGACAGACATCTGACTCCACAGCTGAGGAAGTGGGGACAGGCAAGTCCCTGGAGCTCACTGGCCGGAAAGCCCAGCCAAGTCAGTTAGCTCCAGTTTCAGGGGGTCCCTGTCTCAAAGAGGAAGCCGGAAGCAGGTCTCTGTGGGTATGAGGCCAGTCTGGCCTACACAGCAAGGCCAGGCCAAGCAGAGCAACAAAGTAAGACCCTGTCTCAAATAAAAAAAAATATAAAAACAAGAAATAATGTGGAAAGTGACCGAGGAGGGCACTGACGCTAAGCTCTGGCCACCACACTTATGCACATGTGTACATATCCACACAGACTCGCACACCCCCATACACACATAACACATTTACATACATAAATAGATGGCTATTTGTAACTTAAAAATTTAAGGATCTCGGGCCAGCAAAATGGCTCAGCACATAAAGACGGATGCCATCAAGCCTGACAACCTGAGTCTGGTCCTGAGGGCACACGTGTTGACCGGAGAGAACCGAATCCTACATGCAGTGTGGCACACACATACCCACATACAAGACTGAATACAATTTAATAAAACACACACACACACACACACACACACCTCTATTCCACAGGCAAGTGACATTCTAAGAGAAAATACTGGCAATATTTAAACCTGACCCTTGAAAGCCAGAAAAAATTTGAAGGTTTTTGTTTGTTTCTTTCTTTGTTTCTTTGTGTAGTCCTGGCTGTCCTGAAACTCACTCTGTAGACCAGGCTGGCCTCTAACTCACAGAGATCCTCCTGTCTCTGCCTCCTAAGTGCTAGGATTAAAGGTACGCACTACCACCGCCCAGCTTCCCTATGTAACTCTTTAAAAAAAAAAAAAAGACAAAGTGTTTCTTTGCGTAGCTCTGGCTATCCTATCCTGAAATTCAGAGATCCACTATGCCCAACTCCTATGTAACTGTTATGGGCCTTGAGTTTACAATCCTACTGCCTTTTCCTCCTGACTACTGGGATTACAGGCATGTGCCACCATGGTCCCAAGCATGGTAGGTATACAGCATCATTGATGCTTAAGAGAAAAGCCAATTTTTTCATATTAATACATGCTTTAGAGGATATGTAATAATGCTCTTATGTAATATGACTTAATTCTCCTAGGAACTAAACTAAAATAGTCAAGGATCTCCCATTAAGGAACAAGAAGACAGAAACTGGGGAGAAAATTGGGTAAATATGTAAAGCAATCGCAGAAGGAGACTCTAAAAAGGCGAGTGAGTATGAGAAAGATACTCAACCTCATTAGTAATGAGAAACTTTCGGAGTTCAATGAGATCACTCCACACTTATCAGCATGGTAAAATTAGAAAGATGGAGGATGGTGAGGATTACTGAGAATTACTGGAATGAGGTTTCTTTTTTTTTTTTTTGGTTTTTTTTCGAGACAGGGTTTCTCTGTGTAGCTTTGCGCCTTTCCTGGAACTCGCTTTGGAGACCAGGCTGGCCTCGAACTCACAGAGATCCGCCTGGCTCTGCCTCCCGAGTGCTGGGATTAAAGGCGAGGTTTCTTATACACTGCCTATCAGGAGAATAAAGCAATGTAAGCATCTGAGAAAATGAAATCTGGCTTGCATGTGTCCAATGGCCTAGTAATTCTCTAGCTATAGAATTTGAACAGGACCAGAGGGGACACATTCAGGATGCCCAAGGTGGCACTGTTTGTGGAGGCAGGAAGGAAAAAGCAAGCACCAAACTCGAGAATGTATGAATTTGGTGAGCCAACAGCATGGATTCCTGCGCAGCAGTCCATACAGTGTGGCTAGATCCTGCAAGAAGTGGTGAGTGAAAAATGGCAAGATCCACAGCTAAGTGACATTTATGTAAACATACATACACCAAAAGCATGTACACAGAAACGCTTTAGTTTTTCGAGGGAAGATATATAATCCAAGCATATGTATGAATACATTAGGATCGGACAGGGATAGGAGTGAGGGAAAATGGACAAGGGATTGGGAATGAAAGAGCAAAGATTTGCCTAGACCAGTGTTGCTCTGGCATGCCCTGAGGACCACATGGAGCTGGGGGATGGGTGGGAAGAAGCTGCTGGAGCATGGAAAGGAAGTGCCACATTCAACTGAACACACTGGCTTTGAATGCATCCCTAATGTTTCTTTGTATCCATGTAGGTTAACCAAGGGTACAAGATGTACCAACAGGCAGACAGCAAAATCCCTCCTGACACAGTGGGTGTGCGATGACATTAGCTCAATTTCAGTTACAGAGCAGAGCTAGGCACACACACCTGTGATCCCAGCACTCAAGAGGCCAAAGCAGGAGGATCCTGAGATCAAGGCCAACCTGGGCCACACAGCTAGACCCTGTCTTAAGAATGTAAGATAAGGGACTAGAGAGATGGCTCAGGGGTTAAGAGCACTGACTGCCCTTCCAGAGGTCATGAGTTCAGTTCCCAGCACCCACCCACACGGCAGCTAGCAACTGTCTGTAACTACAAGATCTGACATCCTCACACAGACATGCATACAGGCAGAACACCAATGCACATAAAATAAAAATAAGTCAATTTTTTTTAAAAAGTAAGATAAAGTAACTGAGCAGGACAAAAAGGTAAGATAAAGTAGTTGAGCAGGACTGTACTTCCAAGATCTAGGTCAGGGCCAGCCAGGTGGCTCAGAGGGGAAAGGAGGCAGAACCTGACAACCTGAATTTGCTCTCCCCCTCCCCCGGTCCCACAAGGTAGAAGAGAATTCGTTCTCCAAAGCTGCCTCTGGTCTCCACACATTAGATGCGGCACATGCAACTCCCCAAAGAATATATTTTTAAAAAGATCTAACTCAGTATTTTTCAAACTGCTACATGGTAACTCTTTAATGGGTCATAAAATAAGTATAACAGGTCTCAAACATTAGAGAAACAGGGAAGGGGGTAAGTGAAGGAAGCGATATATTAAGGGACATTTTATTAACAGCACCCCTTCACAAAATGCTTTCAAATATACAAGCACAAAATCAATTTTTTCCCCTATGGGCTACAGATAAAAAGTTGGAAAAATATGTATACTGTCCAAAAGAATTCTGTACTTTCGGATTTCAAGAATCAATAAACAGGCCAGTGAGGTGGCTCGGTGGGCAAAGCAGCTTGCCACCCAGCCTGAAGGCCTGAATTCAATCCCCGGGACCGATATGGCAGGAAGAAAGCATCTGGCATATATCGTTGATTGGTTATTGCTGGAGGTAAAGGAGGAAGAAGGGAGAAGTCCTCTGACCTTCACATACATGCTATGGTGTAACCACACCCACAATAAATAAATAAAAAGTTAAAAGCAATAAGCATTCCTGAAAGAAAAGTAGTTCAGTCTCCACTTTTTAATTTACAACAGGCATTCAAGACACACAACTTACAATCTACTACTGTATTATTACAAAAACCCTGAGCAATACAAAAGGTTGGTTGAAACTTAATACATTGTATTTATTTTTCTTACTTATCTTTTGGAACGTGAGAACAGAATGCTAGAGGCAGGAACTGACAGGCTCAAGGTTACCAGGCATGGCAGAGTTGGCCTGGATCCTGAGGGGACACTAGAAATAGAGCAGGTAGGGAGGGCCTGGAATCCCCAGCCCTGTTTATGGAGTGTGGCTCCACTTCTATGACACTGCATTTGAGGAAAGAATTTCAGCATTGAAAAAAATTAAAAATAAAAAAGCCCTGAAGGGTTGGAAGGCACAGGGTGGGGTAGGGGGATGTGCTGCCTCCTAGGGTAGGACCAGATCACGGAGGTTATTACATTCCATCTTAAACTGGGATGTGGTGGGAGCGGGCTGGTGAAATGGTTCGGTGGCCAAACCTGATGACCAGTGCTCCATCCCCAGAACGCACATGGTAAAAAAGGAGAAAACTGGCAGAGAGCTGTCCTGTGACTGACCTCCACACGCACTCCAACTGTGGCACGAGCGCGCAAACACACACACAGAAATCAAATTTTTAAATTATATACATTGATATCCCCCTCCCCCACTAGCCTAGAAAGCTACTTAAGACCTCAGAGCAAAGGAGAGGCTGAGCTGGGGTTGCGTTTAATGGCGTCACTCGGGTGGTAGGGTACACTAGGGACAGCTGCAGGCACAGAGCAGGTATTTCTAACGATGACAGTCCTGACACCAGGTGAACTGCAGCCCTGACTCAAGCGGCAGGGAGGCTTCGGAGGACTGCACCCCCAAATCCTAAGAGCCTGGGGTTATGACCAGTCTGAGGCAGGCTCTGCAGCCATCTCTCTCTTTCTTCTGTTGTAACAGCTAACTACTGGAGAGCTCTCTCAAGAATGCGTTGGGGAGGGACTCTCACCTGTAGTGCCAGCTGACAGTCTTCAATCAGGCCCTGGACCAGGTAGTACCGGGCTTCACCCAGCAGCTCCCCGAGTTCTCTGGTACTCTCAGGCAGTGGGACCGACCCATCTCGTAGGTAGTTGAGGATTGTACCAAAGTGGCGGCCACTCCGGTCAATCAGCACCCAACCTGGTGGGGTGGGAAAAGGCAAAAGGAAGGATAGTTTGGTGGGAGACTGATGTTAACACGTTTTTAGAAAACGAATTCCAAAGCCAAAAGAAAACCTAAATACTTATCTGTTTCAAACCTCTGCCACATCCAAGAACTCTTTCAAACATCTCCAAGTGAGTCATACACACACCTGCCACAGAATAACTCCCTCCCAAGTCTGCTGGACAGACAGAAGGCTCTCACCATGGGCAAATCTTTTGTTGTTGTTTTGTTTTTTGTTTTTTGAGACAGGGTTTCTCTGTGAAGTCTTGGCTGTCCTGGACTCACTCTGTAGATCAGGCTGTTCTCAAACTCACAGAGATCCACCTGCCTCTGTGTCTCCAGTGCTGGGATTAAAGGCTTGCGCCACCACAGACCAGTGCCCGTTGAGAAAGTTGTATTTAAGGCAGGACCTCACTATGCAGCCCAGACTGCGTGCAAGCATTATAGGCACGTGCCACCAAGCCCGGCTTACCGTGGGAAAATTCTCACCGAATTACTATACCAATAAATTTAACCCCTTCTATTAATTTTAACCAATTCATTTAAATGAAAATGTCCACCTCAACCGTCCAGTTCACCACAATAATAAAATAATGACAACATTATTCAAAGAACTTACTCTGTGATTACATGTGATTTTCTTGATTACTGGTCATTCCCACTCAATGCCCTACCGGATCGTCCCTCACTGGGGGGGGCGGCGGGAGCGGTTAACTCCATAAGGCTCATCAGATCCCTTTACCAAACCTTCTCTAGCACTAATTGGCGCTTCACAAAACTTATCAAATAACTGATTTCTTCATCTTCAGTATTTGAAAGCTGAACTTCACCTCCTAAGCATTTGCCTTCATAATCTTTGTTAACCCCTTCTCTTTAAGGTTATACTATATAGCATGTGGGTCCCAAATTTAAAGGCAACACTCCGAGAAGGTTAAGGTTCACCTGCCAAGGAAATCTGCACCCTTCACTCAGGACCCTGGTAAACCCAAAGCAGCCTTCTCCTTCTACAATCTGCATTTATAGATGATTCCTAGAGAGTGCAGGGACTTGTGTTAGAGACTGACACACAAGATCTTTCAGTTCTCCAGGCTGCCTGTTGGCGGTTCTACCGCAGAGAGGCAAACAAAAGGCTGGGCAGTAGGAAGGGGTGGTAAAGGTTGTCTGGGGGTGCTGCTTGCAGCAGGGCTGCTTCCTAGGCTTTCTCAACTAAGGGGAGAAGAGACTCGCAATGGAGTGTTTGGCAGAGATTACTGCTGGAAGTAAAGGACTGGGGAAGGAGGGAGACTTTGAATAAGGAAAAGATAAGATGGGACATGGGGAGCCGGGAACGAACCGGGGGCTGGAGGGCAGCACGTGTACCAGCGACACGCATACCTCCGGCGTCTGTGAGCACCTCCACGCGGCCGCTGAACATGGCCTTGAGCATGGTGTCCTGCCCAGTGAGGGTGCGCAGCGTGGTGTAGTGCAGCGAGCCGCCCACGTTCAGCTTCACATACTTGCTGTTCGGGGTCAGGGGCTTCAGACTGTACGAGGGGGAGCCAGGCTCCACACCCGAGGGCTTAGGGGACTCCAGGCAGCCGGCCGCAGCCGGCGCCGGGCCAGAGGCCTCGGCCGACATGCCAGGGAGCGGACGCAGGCGGCAGTCGCAGGCTCTCTCCGCGTCCCGGAGCGGCTCTCAGAGACCCCGCGACTCCAGCGCCGGCGCCGGACGGCTCGGAGCACACGCCCACTCGCCGCCGCTACTCCTCGACGTCCACCCTCCGCCCCATCGCGCTCTCTCCACCCGGAAGCCGGCGCGGGCAGCTGCGCAGGCGCGGCCAGGCCGGGGGCCGGGCCCCGGGGGGCGGGGCCAAGGGCTGGAGCAAGCGCAGTCTGCGGGTGCCGTGGCGGTCTGGTGTGCGGGCGTGGGGACAGTGGTTCCAGGGGACTCGGGAGCCTAGCTGGCAAAGCACCCGGTCGCTTTGCTCCTTGTGCGTGTGGGCAGAGAAGGCCGCAGCCCGTGACGGTCTCAGCTCGCGGAGCGCTTCATTCGCGTGGAAGGAAACAGGCTCAGAGGACTGGGCGTTGGGCATGGTTTTCCCTACCCCAGCGCAGTGCACTTGAATGAAGAACCGTCCACAGAAACCAGAGAAAGTTCTCCAAGGAGGCCCATAAGGCTCCCAGGGGAAGTGGAACTAGGACGCCCAGGTTGGAAGGCCTAACGGAGGAGGTGATGGTGAAGTGTCTAATGAAGACAGTTGCAGGCAGGGAGAAGGGTAGATAGAAACCTGAGCCACATGTAACTGTCATTTCAGACCTGGAGGCTGAGGCAGGAAGATGGTGAGTTCCAGGCCAGCTTGGGCTACATAGTCTAGTCATACCTGCCTCAAAACAAAAGGAGAACCATTAGGCAGGAACATGGAGATTGGAAACATATGGCTGGACAGGCTAGTGAAGATCTTAGAATCCTAGCTGTCATGAGACCTACCGTTGAATGCCAAAAAGAGAAGAAAGTAGAGCGCACTGTGGACAAGAGAAGGTTTTTTGTTTAAGCTGAGCGGTTTAACAGCCTGCCCTAATGTCTGGAAGCGGGTTTTGCTGGATGGAAAACCAAAATCAACCTTCTAGTTTCCACCCTGTCACTAACTGGAAGACCTGGGCAAAGCTCCTCTCTCTGGTCTAGTTGGCTCTTTTACTGCTTACCGTGGGTGCAAACTTAAGTGTTTACCACGGACAGGGAGAAGTGTGGGAAGCAGAGCGGACCTGTTAGAAGGTATTAGAGAGAAGGGTAACGAAGGGGCTTCGTGTCCTGACAAAAGGGGGTTGCCAGTTCTGTTTTCCCCCTCAAGTGTGGCAGTGAAAAAGAAAAAGCAGTTCCTGACAGCCGGCAGCTGGCTTGCACTCTCCTTCCTGAAGCCTTGGTGTTGCCGGGAACCAGCCTGGCACCAAGAGGGAGCCTGTGGTCTTGTCCGGTTCAGCACAATTTCACAAAACACCAATTTCAGACAAAGTCACACTCTGGTGGATAAAAAGACTTTTCCATAATCACGTCTGAACACAAAACACATAAGTGACCAAACACAACCATCTCCTACAATGTTTCTGCTGACTACTGGGGTCTTTGTTCTCACAGAGAAGCATTAGGGCAGGAGTTCTCAACCTGTGGGTCTTGACCCCTTTGGGGTTAAATGACCCTTTCACAGGGGTCACCTAAGGCCATTAGAAAACATAGATATTTACATTATGATTCATGACAGCAAAATTACAGTTATGAAGTAGTAACTATTTAATTTTATGTTTGTAACTCCAGTTCCAGGGGATCCATCACACTCTTCTGCTGCCCACTGTGGTACACAGACATTTATGGAGGCAAAACCCCCATACATACAAAAATTAATTAATTAAAAAAGTATTCCCTTGCTGGGCAGCGGTGGTGCACACACCTTTGATCCCAGCACTTGAGGCAGAGCCAGGCACAGCTCTATGAGTTCGAGGCCAGCCTGGTGTACAGAGTGAGTTCCAGGACAGCCAGGGCTACACAGAGAAACCCTGCTTCACAAAACAAAACAAAAAACCCCACTTCCCGCCAGTATGCAATCTATCATAAGGCTTTCCTTTCTTGAAACCTACTATGAGGTCAAATAACAAGCCCCAAATCCTGTAAGAAGTTCTCCTGAACATGTGATTGGCCAAGATAGGAGTCCCCATGGTGCTCTCTTTATTTTCTTTTTTGTTTTGAAACCTCTTGCTACTTATTCCTAAACACTGTGGTTCGATCTTAATGGCCTTTGTTTACAGAGCATTGCCAGAAACAGAGGTCCACAGATGTTCACCGGAAGCCCTCACTACCCGGGATGGGGACCCTCAGTTTTAGTCATAGTGGACAGTGCTGAAACCTTTTGTGTTTCTCTTTGGGGGTACCATTCTTCTCACGATTAGGAGGTAAGTTCTTGCTGAATTGGATTTTGACATTTTGTCAGGATCCATGAACAAAATGTATATTTTATTTTTGCTTTTGTCTCTTGGAATAAGGTCTCCCTGAGCCTTTTGGTTTTTATCAGACTTTGCTCTTTCCTTGGTGAGACTATCTTCTGGGCTTCTATGCCGGTTCCTAATGGCTGTCTTCTTGCTGTTCACGTGTAAGGCATCCAAGGTGTGCCTAAAAGGATCCTAAGTGCTTTATCTCTGGTGACTGAACTCCACTTGTCCCTCCAAGAAACTGAAGGCTGTTCAGACATGGCGGTGCATGTCTGCAATCCCAGGTACTTGGGAGACTGAGACAGGGGGGTGTAGCTGGGCTTTCTTGGACTTATTATTAATTATGAATGCTTGACCTTAGCTTAGGCTTGTTTCCAGCTAGCTTTTTTTTTTAACTGAAAATAATCCATTTCTATTCATCTATGTGCTGCCTCCAGGCTCATTTACCTCATCTACATACTGTCCATCCTGCTTTTCTGCTTCTTCCATCTGTATCTGTCTGTCTGGCCCCGGCGGGCTGACCACCCCTTTCTCTCTGCCTGCCAGTCCCTCCTATCCCTCCTCTGCCTAGTTATTGGCCATTCAGCTTTTTATTAGACCAATCAGGTACCTTAGGCAGGAAAGGTGAAACAGCAACCTATCTTTACATAGTTAAACAAATATAGCATAAACAAAAGTAACACATCTTTACATAGTTAAACAATTATTCTGCAACACAAACAAATGCAACACACTTTACATAGTTAAACAAGTATTTTCTTCCACAACGGGGGGTGGGGGGGTCTTAAATTCAAGGCCTGCCTGGGCTATACATAATGAACTCAAGGCCAACCTGGTCAAGTTTGTCTCAAAAATAAAAACGAAATTAAGAATGCAGGTGTCTCTCAGTGTAACAACACTTGTTTAGAATATTCAAGGCCTTAAATTCAATCCCTAGTACTCCAAACCGTTGGGCACACTGCCTGGGTAGGAACAGACAACTAGGTAATATCTCAGAAAAACACACACCTCGAGGCGGGGGTGGGGGGGGGGTGGGGGGTGGGGTGGGACTGGGAGCGCCTAATGTTCTATTGCTATGAAGAGACTATGACCAAGGCAGCAAGCTTACAGAAGAAAGCATTTAATTGGGGACGTGCTTACAGTTTCAGAGGTTTTGTCCATTATCATCATGGTGGGGACCAGGTAGCAGGCACACGAGCAGGATGGTGCTGGAGAGGTAGCTGAGAGTTCTACATTCTGATTCGCTGGCAGCAGGCAGAGAGAGACACCTCAAAAGCCCATTCCCAGTGACACACCTCCTCTAACAAGGCCACACTCCTAATCCTTTCCAAACAGTTCATCAACTGAGAACTAGGCATGCAAATATGTGAGCTTATGGAGACCATTTTTATTCAAACCACCACATATAGTGTGTGTTTATGATGATGATGTGTATATATACACATATTATATATATATATATATATATAAAATATATAATTTTATGTGTGTTTTGTCTGCATGTCTGTATATGCACCACGTGCATGCAGTGCCTTAGGAGGCCAGAAGAGGGCATCAGATCCCCTAGACCTGGAGTTACAGATGCCATATAGATTCTGGGACTTGAACCTGAGTCCTCTGGAAGAGCAGTCAGTGCCATCTCTCCACTGAGCCATCTCTCCACCCCCACCCCCCCTTTTTTTCACGCACATCTCTCCATCAACCAAGGGTTAGTGAGCCCTACCACCACCTCCACAGGCTGTACAACTGAAAATATATTCTTTTTGTTTTGTTGTTTTGTTTTTGTTGTTGTTGTTTTTGAGACAGGGTTTCCCTATGTAGCCTTGGCTGTCCTAGAACTTGCTGTGTAGACCAGGCTGGCCTCAAACTCACAGAGATCCTCCTGCCTCTGCCTCCCGAGTGCTGGGATTACAGGCATGTGCCACCACTGCCAGGCAAGAATATATTCTTAGGCCAGTTTTGTTGTTGTTGTTGTTTGGTTGGTTTGGTTTGGTTTGGATAGCTTTGCTCAGGCTACTATTTCAAACCTTAAGGAACTCTTAGTTTTGTCTGTGTCTCTGCATACCCATTTATTTCATTTCACCTATTCAGAATCTTTCTTTTTTTTCCCTGGCCATGATGAATGATTCTGAGTCTTTAGCAGGTCATGGAAATGCAGGGTTGGACACCATCTTTATGGGTCCTCATCTCACACAACAGTGGGCGAAGACCTGCTCCTTCATGCTGTTGTTTCTTCTTCTTCTTCCTTTGTACTGAAGTCTCCTATGTGCTAGGCAAGTGCTCTGTCTTTGGACTAAATTCACAGTCCTGCTCTATACTTTTCATTTTGACATAGGCCCTCACTGAATTGCACAGGTTGTTCTTGAACTCACTCTAGGCAGACCGTGAACTTTTGATCCTCCTGCCTCATCCTCCCAAGAAGCTAGGATTTCAGGCCTCGGTCTCAGTCTCAGTGATACAGTCTCTGTATCAGTTCTCAGTTTCATGACTGTATTACCTTGTGTCCTAACCTCTCTCACTGCAGATTTTCACCAGGGACAATTTGGAATTCCAGTGTCCACTGGGGGGAACTTTTGATAAGAACAAGATAATTTGTTTGAGAAACACCCCAAACCAAAAAGGGAAGGGATGTAAGGAGATTGTCTTAATTGTCAAAAGCAGAGATACTTTGTTTAACACGGTTAACTTTTCATTTGAACACTAACGAATGCTGGCTTCTTTTGTGTTTGCATTTTGGTTTTTGAGACAGGGCTTTGTGTAACCCAGGCTGGCTTTGAACTCAGCGTGTGGCACACCCTAGCCTTGGTTTCCTGATGTCCGCTTCTCC